CGCTCCCTGCTGCAGCTCCGCAAGCAGATCACCGAGGACCAGGTCACGGGCGAGAGCTTGCTGGTGCCCTGCGACCACCAGCTTGGGATTAGCGACTTCGTCATCAGCGATGAGACCGTCAGCTGCTGGTGGTACGACGCCGAGAAGCACCGCAAGCTGCCCTTGGACTTCTTCGAGGCCTACGGGCTCGCCCGCGACGAGCGGAGGACGCTGATCTTCTACGGGGACAGCGGCACGGGGAAGACCCCGCTCGCTTGCAGCCTGACCCCCGTGGTGGCCCGCGAGGCGGGGCTGGATAGCTTCGTCATGGTGTCCAGCCCGGACTTGCTGCGATCGGCGGTGGAGCGCAACCTTCTGCGCGACGAGAGGCCTTTGCTGTTGGACGAGCTTCAGCTCAACGCCACCAGCGTCGGAGCGCAAGGCGGGGGCGTGGACACGCTCAAGCACTTGCTTGGCCTATCGCCAGACTTGGCCGCGACGATCAAGTGCCGCTACCACGACGTCAAGATCCCAGCAGAGACGTTTCGCATCATCACCGTCCAGGACCTGCTGAAGCTGGACAAGGACCTCGACCGCATGGCCAGGGACATACGGTCCCCGAACTTGATGGAGTACGGAACCTCCTCGGTACTATTTTGGGGGTTCCTTTAAAGAGTCGCGTTTAAAGGGGTTTATAAGGATTACTATAAGGGGTATTATGGGGGTTTAGTATAAGGGCCTTAAGGGGGTTCCATGTTACAAGCATAGTTTATCGGGCCCCAAAATCCCACTCTAATTGCTAAGGCTCCTATATTAAAGTTCAGCGAGGTCCAGGGTCCAGGGTTCAGGGTTTAGGGTCTACTTGGAGGGTCGGGGGACTGAGTAACTGGTTATTTTAGGGACTTATAAGTACCATAACCCCACTTAGGGTTCTCCTTTTAGGGTACTTATAAGTCTACTTACTACCTACTTACTAAGTCCCCCGACCCTCCAAGTAGGGTTTAGGATTTTGGGGTTTAGGGTGTGCGGGGTGTAGGATCTGGGGTTCAGAGTTCAGGGTCCAGGGTTCAGGGTTAGGGTTTTGGGGTTTGGGGCTTAGGGTTTAGGGTTTAGGGTTTAGGGTTTTGGGGTTTGGGGCTTAGGGTCTAGAGTCTAGGGTTCAAGGTCTAGGATCTGGAGTTGCGGGTTTGGGGTCTCGGGTTTAAGGGGTAGGGTTCATGCGCCTGGGCATTCGTCACGACCCTGACAGCACCCCTGCTTTTGCATCCTCATCTTCTCTTTCACATCGTTGTCCATACTACGTTGATGATGAAAATCCTGCAGTAGCTTAAGGACCCTAAACTATGGGAATTGTGGTATATTCCTCATTCTGGGCAATGCAGGGCTTATATCACCAACCGTACATGTCCCACAGATTTTCCATATGATTCAACAGAAGCTGGCAGAGGTCGGTGCGGTGAGCAGTCCATGTGCATTCCAAGATGACGTTGATGATCATGGTGGTAATGAGGATGAGGATGATGATGCCGATGCTGATGATCCTGATCATCGCGTTCATCACCAGCAGCCCCAGCTAAGTTTCTTTTCTTCGACCTTCGATGGCTTTCGACTTTCCCGAACTTACTGCTTGCTGTTGCCGTTATTTTCTCTCATGTCATGCAGACAAGTATTGCTCGAACAGCCTCTCGCACGACATGCTACGTCGTGACGACAAGTATAATGATTCAAGAAAGAAGAGGAAGAGCAGAAGCCCACTGTGAGGTTGGCACGCAGGCAGACGTGGTCCAAGTCGTCGGCCAGGGCCAAAGGAAAACCCCAAAGCCCTAAACCCGAAACCCTACTTGGAGGTTCATGGGTAGGTCTAAGTGGGGTTCTAAGTAGGGTAACTATCGATATCACCCATATTAAGGGACTTATATCCCTGCTTATAACTGCCCATGAAACCTCCAAGTATACCCCACACAACCTGCAAACCCTAGGCTTTAAATCCGAAACCCTGAATCGTCAAGGCCCTAAGCCCTACTCTCCGAACCCTGAACCCAACCCCAACCGCAAACCCTCAGCACCTACACCCTAAACCCTAAACTGTTTAAACCCCTCACCCTACGGTTCAAAATAGCCCGAATAGGTCTTTTGGGCCCAATAGCCGTAGAAAAAGCCCTACAGTCTAAACTCTAAGCCCGAAAGCCCTTGGAGTAAGAGTCCTCAGAGCCTTAGCGTTAGGGTCGGGGGACTTAGTAAGTAGGTAGTAAGTAGACTCATAAGTACCCTAAAAGGGACCCTAATTGGGGTTATGGTACTAATACGTCCCTAGAAAGAACCAGTTACTAAGTCCCCCGACCCTCCAAGCAGGGCTTCCAGTCAAGCTTTCAGGGCTCGGTTTTAGGTTTTAGGATTTAGGTTTCGGGGTCTAGGCTTTAGGGTTTAGGTTTAGGAGCTAGGATTTAGAGTTTAGAGCTTAGGGTTTAGGGTTGGGAGAGCTGGCTTCAGGCTACAGGCTGCTAGGCGTGTAGTACAGGACAGTTATGAGACAGGTCACTGTTGCCATACTTCTTCAGTGACCCAGGCAGGCTGCCTGCCACCGTGCCTGTGAAATCCCTACTTCGGAGGTTCATGGGTACTTATAAGTGGGTTATAAGTCCCCCAATATAGGCTATAAGTATGGTTACCTTGCTTAGATCCCCACTATAACTACCCATGAACCTCCAAGTAATCCCTAAACTTACGCCCTGGCCTTGCGGTCTTGAACCTTACAGAACCAACTTCTGAAGCCGGCCTAGCGCTCGAAATCGCGTGAAGATTAGGGGTTTAGTGTTGAGGGTTTCGTGAAATGTAAGAATTAAATATCCCTTCGAAAGAGAAAAACGTGGGGGTTCGGACGAATTACGGTTATTCCTCAAGATTCTCTCTCTCTTTTCATGTTGAGACCAGACAACCCCCCCAAGAATTTGCTTTACTTCTTAAGGTTCCTACAGAATACCCGTGTAAGGTCTTGATACAAGAATTTTCCAAAGCCTGACCAAGGCTTGACTTTGAAGCAGCTGCCTAAACCCTAAACCCTAAACCTGAAGCTCTAAACCCGAAACCGTAAACCCTGAACCCTGAGCCCGTAACCCTAAACCCTAAACCCTAAACCCTGAACCCTAAACCCTGAACCCTAAATCCTAAACCCTAAACCCTAAACCCTCCTGACCCAGGCTTGACGTTGAAGCAGCTGCGGCCAGAGGAGCCCAGCTTGCGCCACGACACCAACATCCGCCACGGCTGCAAGGCCCAGAGCTCGAAACCGTCCGTGGGCTCGTACTTGGAGGGTCGAGGGACCTGGTAAGTAGGTAGTAAGTAGACTTATAAGTACCCTAAAAGGAGGACCCTAATTGGGGTTATGGTACTTATAAGTCCCTAAAAATAACCAGTTACTCAGTCCCCCGACCCTCCAAGTAGGGTTTAGCGTTCAGGGTGTAGGGTTTGGGTTCCGGGGCTTGAATTCATCTTTCCGGAGGTGCAGAAGGTTTGCATCGGTCTGCACGAGGAAATTTTTGTTCAGGCGTCCAAGGTCTAGTTTGGGGGATGTTGATTTTAAGCAGACTGGAAGTGCTCTACAGAGACTTCTACAGGCCTGTGAGAGCTGTTTCGTCAAACCCCAAACCCCCAAACCCAAAACCCTAAGCACAACACTAGAACCGCTGTTGAAGACGCAACAAAAAGAGAGGCTCGTTTTGCGAGCTCGCAGGGGCCTCTTCAGGGTCTCCCGAAGCTTTTCTAGTATGGGCGATGTATCATAGTCTCTTTCTCTACTTGCGGCTTAGGGTGTCAGTAGTGCTTAGGGTTTATGCACAATTCTCAACCCAAAGCTCGTCTTACACCAAACCCTCAATCCTTAGACCATAAACCCACGAGAAGGTGGCATTGGGTTCAGGTTTTGGGGTTCCTTACTATGACTTCCTTCTGTAAGTTTCGAGAAGGGTAGGTTATGTGGGGTTCCCAGAGACTCCCAACTCCCTTAATTACGGAAAATACCTCAAATCATAGTAGGATCCCTTATATGATTTAAGGTATATCCCTTAATTAAGGGATATTGGAGTCTCTGGGTTAAGGTAAACCCATGCGAAGGCGCTGATCGCGGCCTCCAAGCCGCCGGGGGCGATGCTGCTGCAAAGTGGAACGGCAGAAGTCGCCCCCCTTGGGGGTGCAGAAGACAGAAAATATGCAGAAACTCTAAACCCTTAAACCCTAAACCCTTTAACCCTAAACCCCTAAGCCCTAAACCCCTAAACCCCTGAATCGCTAAACCCTGCAAACCCTAACCCCTAACCCCTAACCCCTAACCCCTAAACCCCTAAACCCTAAACCCCTAAACCCTAAACCCCTAAACCCCAAACCTGAAACTGCAAAGCCTAAACCCGTAAGCCATAAGCCCCTCAGCCCGAAACCCTGTAGATACAGATCCCAGAGCCTTGCACTTTCCGTCTGAGTCTGGGTCTCTCTCTCGGACCTCTTTCACAGGTTTCCGCTTCTGAAGCGTGGGGGCTCCTTTGAGGGTTCTATATGGGACTCCACAGGGGCTTACGTACTGAGGTTTTAGCGTTGAGGGATACTTGTTTTATATAGAACCATGTAAGGATTTTGTGTTTTGTGTTTTTACTAGGGTTTAGGGTGAGCGGAGGGGTTGGGGTGAGAGAAACCCAACCGGAAGTATCCTTCCCTCCCCCTGTCAGGGTTCAGTAGATTTAGTCGTGCCTTGTTTGAAATGCAGGTCACTACAGGCATTGTAGGGTCTATGCTGGGAGCCTTGCAGAACTCTTGGAACCCGTGTAGTAGCCCCTTATAGTCACCCTAAATCCGGAGCTCTGGTATTTCTATTTTCCGAAATGCCCATTCAATGCAAAGGCAGGTGGTGAGGTGCTCTGGCAGATGCGTGCTGATGGATCTATTGTAGGGGTTTGGAGTAGAGTGTCCGTTTGCCTTTGCTTGGATTTAGGGTTCAGGGGTTTAGGGGGCGACAAGATGCATGTGCTGCAGCCATGCCTCAGCAGACGTATCTCGTTCTCTTGTGCCTTGCACTTCTCACGCTTCTTGCCCTTCTCCGGCGTGGTATGATGGGCGAGCCTGCTGCAGCGCTTTCCGAAGAGGAGAAAGCAGAATGGCAGAAGACTTGGAAGTTGGCAACCTCCACGCTGGCCTTGAGTGAGGACGAGAGTGTTTTCGTTCAGTCGGTTGAGGTGGGGAAGCCAAACCTGCCAATGCCAGCTGTTCTGTTAGAAGGTGTTCGCTATTCTTTGACTGGTATGAACCCTATGGCCAAGCGGGCGGATGATGAGTTCAACCGAAGAGCGAATCTTGAGTTGCAGGCCGTCCTCCAATCCATGCATCCGCGCCCCATATCTATTCTTCCATCCTCTGCCGAAGATGATGATTGGAAGGAGGAGGGGTTTACGGTGCAGTTTCCGCTGGAGGGCCCACACCACGAGAAAGAGCTGGATGAGATTATGGTTGCCACCGGGCGCCGGTTCCAGCAAGCTGCGATCTACAAGTACAGACGTGCAGTCGACAGCACCCAGCTACTTCAATGGGTGCTCCCCTGCTCACCTTCTTTGGCAGCCGTCGCCTCTGAAACGTCTGTGGCTGTGGTAAGCCCTTTCTAGCAGCTGGCCTTGGGACCACCCTCAAAGCATCGGCCGGGTCTCTGCCCTGGACCCCGGCAGCAAAGACGTCCATCTCGTGTGTCTACAAATCTAGATGTTGCGAGGTGAAGGCATCGTGCTCTAAGCCTCTAAACCCGAAACCCCTTAACCCTAAACCCTTAAAGTGGCCCTAAATCAAGGCAGCTTGAAAGCCGGGACCAAAACAGTGTAGAGCCCATCAACTGTGAACCTTATCAAAAAAGCTCGAAACCCTGGAGACTACTTAAACCCTTCTTTGAAACACAAGTTCTTCAAAAAAGGACCCTGTCTTGAAGGTCCTATTACAAAACACCCCGCAGCTCTTAAACTTCGCATCTAGAGATCCGAACCTCCCAGCTCAACCGGTTGATTCACAAGGCCCACAGCCCCAAGGCCTATAATATCAAGCCCAAGCCTTCAAGCCAAGGTTTTAGGGTTTTTGGCTATGGTTGTAGGGTTTGAGGTTTATGTAGGGTTTAGGGTTAAGGTTTAGGGTTAGGGTTCTGGGGTGTAAGGTTTATATATGGTTTAAGGTTATGGGTTAAGGTTTAGGGTTAGTGTTTTAGGGTGTAAGGTTTATATAGGGTTTAGGGTTTTGGGTTAAGGTTTAGGCTTAGGGTTTTAGGGTGTCAGGTTGATGCAAGGTTTAGGGTTTTGGGTTAAGGTTCAGGCGAGGGTTTCGGGTTTAGGGTATTAAGGCTCTAAAACCGACTGGCGGGAACCTGAACCTGAAGAGCCTCTGAAGCCCAAACCTTCCAAACCCCGACGTTGTCGCGTGCTATCCTGTGGACCGTTAATACAGAGGTCGGAGTAGCCAGTACTAGCATTCCCTTGTAGTCTCTCAGTATTCAGAATAGTTATAGCATACAATTCTAGCATAAGACACCTCAAAGCCTTTATTCTCATTACTATTGTTGCTTATATTACGGTCACTATTCTTATTTTTAAAGCTCCTTTACAAGGCCTCGTAACACCCCCATAGTAACCCTTCTAGACCCTTTCGAAGGAATCCGGTTCTAGTCAGGAAGGCCCTTATATTATCCCCCTATAATACCTGCTTGGAAAACCACCAAGGGAACCACATAAATGCCCTTAAATTCACCCTACTCCCAATACTAAGGCCTCTAAAAGCCTATGCAAGATGAAAAAAATCCAACAGAATTTCGGTTTAGAAGTTCCCAAAGGCCCACTCCCATACAGCATCAGGGTTCAGGGTTTCGGGTTGGGGTTCAGTGCTTGGCGTAAAAAGGTGACTGTTGGGCTGGCCTACACTTGGAGGGTCGGGGGACCTAGTAACTGGTATTATATCAGGGACTTATAAGTGCCATAACCCCAATTAGGGTCCCTTTTTAGAGTACTTATAAGTCCACCTTCTACCTACTTACTAAGTCCCTAAACCCTAAACCCTATAGTACCCTTATAGAGCCCTTTAAAGGAACCCTTCGAATCCCCTTTAAAGGAGCCCCTACGTACTAAGTCCCTCGACCCTCCAAGCACGCTTCTGCCCTGGTGCAAGAGTCGGCTCGAGTGGACGCGATGAGAGCACATGGTGTCTCTGAACCACAGAAACTCACGGTTTGGGGTTTGGGGGTTTAGGGTTTAGGGTTTAGGGTTAACTCAGACCCGCTTTGGAGGATCTGGAAAGTCGATCCCCTAATGTGAGGCCCTATACTACTAAGGGCATTTTATAGGATCCCCCATTGAGGGATCTACTTGTTGGATGGTCTGGAAATCGTCTATGACGTCTAGGGCGGCGAGCGACTATATGTTGAGACCATCCTAATTTCGCGGCGCAGCCTCAGCCTTAAACATGTATTTCTTGCTGTTGATTTTATACACCGATTATGGTAGCTTACAAGCTCCGCGACACGTTAGGAATCAGACCATGGGCAAGGATTTCGATATGGGACCCTATTATAGTACCCTAAATAGTAAAATCCTTGTTATATGAACCCCCCAAATCAGGCACCCCATGCTTTTCGGAAACTCCACTATCCCGGCACGCTCTTCCTTTCGTATAGTCGGCGGTTGCGCCGAGAGAGACGACCTCAGCCATGCCAGGGCTTTTAAATGCGGCGGCGTCTGGAAGCCCAGGGGGACGGGGAGGGGGGATTTCAATAAGGCTTTAGTATGGCTTGAATAAGGCCTTAATAAGGCTTTAATAAGGCGTAATATGACCTTTTAGGGTTTCGGGCCATTTGGGGTTTTAATAATGGCTCGAACTAGGAGTTTAAGCCTCTGAGCCTTTCTTGCTTTCTTAAACCGAAGACGCCACATCAGGCAGCCTCTAACAGGGCTCCTGCATCGGAGTTTAGGGTTTGGGATGTTAAGGTTCCGGAGGTAGGGGCTACTAATACGGCCTAAATAATTACCAATGCTATTTTGAGGGTTCCGTATTGTAATCATAGGTAGAATATACCCCCCAAACCCTATTCTAACTGCTGTAATAAGGCTCTACATTAAAGTTCCGGAGTTAGGGGCAACATCCTGTGCGTTCAGCGCGGCTGGACGTGCAATCAACAAGATGCGTCCGCGAATGTCCTCGCGCAGCGCGAGCTGCATTTCGCACGGACATCTGAATGGTGTCCCCAGAGACTCCAGTGTCCCTTAATTAAGGAATATACCTTAAATCTTAGAATTTAATGTATATTCCTGAATTAAGGGATATTGGAGTCTCTGGGTCAGAGGGTATGCGATGAAACCACAGGAGCGATGACGAATGGTGAGCAAAGATGGAGATTGTGCATCGTCTTGGTGCCTTGCCCAAGACTGCTGCAATCTTGGCCTTCGCGCAACTGAAGACTCGCACTGGCTCCGACATCCTCATTTCTCAAGCGTGGCTGGACGTGACTTTGCGCCTCGCGTAAGGCATACCCAGCGAGCTAAGGAATATACTTTAAACCATAATATCGAGGCCCTACAATGCAAGGTGCGATCCTTAATTCGAGGGCACCGGGCTCTCAGGGTACACCTGGCATGCAGAAATCGCATCCTTTCATGGCCGGCTGAGGAGTTTTGGGTGTGGCAGGTTAGGGTTGAACCCTTCTTTACGCCCTTTGAACCCCAAGCCATACATCGTTTATCGTTTTTTTTGAATATGATTTTGGGGTAGCCTGTAGCTTGTGCATGACAGCACGAGATCACTGAGAATGAGATGGGACGAATAGAGCCAAGTTTCCGTCGCAGACACGTGGTACGCCTGAACCCTGCACCCGAATTTTCGTAAGTGTTCAAACTCGAAGCTAAAGCCTCACTCATGTGAACCCTTCTGTACCCCGAATTCCCAAGCATCCTACTTAAACCCTTGGAAGGCCCTGCTATTGCCACTGCGGTTCTTCTTCGTCATTCTCTGCTGTTTGATGCTAGTGCTATCATCACTGGTATTTGTTTCGCTAGTACTGTTTCTATTGTTTCTGTCTGCTAACTGCTGCTGCTACTACTACTGCTGCTGCTGCTACTACTACTACTACTACGACGACGACGTACTATGACAACTGTTCTTCATTCTAAGTGTGTCCTGATTGTTACGTTACTACTGACTCCTGTCAATGCTGTTTGCTATGGAGAACTATTAGACTTGAAGCCTCGCATTCCCAGGTCTGAGATGAGGGCGATCTTTGGCATGTCGGGCAGTTCATCAAGCCGATCGAGCGCTTTGCCTGCTAGAGGGGCCTAAATAATTACCGATACTATGTTGGGGCCTCCTTGATATAAGTATAGCATAATGGGCAAAAAAACCCTATTCTAATTATTAAGGCCCCTAAACTAGGGCTTTCAAGCCAAGCTTCTTGTTTGGTCTTCGGGATCTTCGGGTTCAGGTTCCCAGAGACTCCAATATCCCTTAATTAAGGAATAGTCCTGAAATCATGCTAGGGTTCCTATTAGAATTTAAGTTATATTCCTTAATTTAGGGGATATTGGAGTCTTTGGGTTTGTTGGGGCTCGAGGTCCAGGGTTTGCGGTTTGGCCAATTTTGGGGGCTTCGGGTCTCGGAATGCGGGTTGGGTCTTGACGTCGGGGTTGGGGGGTTGGAATGTCCACTCTAAACCCTAAACCTTAACCCCTAAACGCCTAAACCCCAGACCCCAAAGGCCAAAGCCCTAAACCCAGACCCCTATACCCTAAACCTGAGGTTGTTGGGTTTTATTTTAGGGTTCTACGGGTTGAGGGTTCGATGTTTGGGGTCCGGGGATTCTTGGGTTTAGGATCACTGGCTTTCGGGTGGAGGGCCTGGGGTTCCCTTCAAGGTTTAGGGTTTAGGGTATACGAACACCAGCTATTATTGAGGGTTTCGGGTTTGGGGGTTTAGGGTTTTACTTAGGGTACATGTTTAGAAACCTTGACAGAAGCCCTTGCAGAAACCTTTGTAGGAGCTCTCACTCACTTATCCACGTCTGCGCATTCGTTTCGCGGTGCCAATGGTGAACTTCCGCCGCTTGTCAAAGGAGAGAAGCTGAAGGTTGTACTTGACTCCATCGCCTATTCAGCCAAGGTCGAGAATGTGCCAGATCTTGCGCCGTGTCCTACTTCTGGCTTTACAGACGGGGTCATACATATGTCGACAGACGGCCAGTTTGCACCGAGTACGAAGCTAACGAGAGAGAGTCGTGGCCGCATCATCGGGCACACGTCATTTTGGCGTTGACACCGACGTTCGGGTTTCCATTCCACAGGGAGGTGACTGCGTCTACGTGCTGCACACCCAGCACGACAAGTGCAAGTCCGGCAATTCAGGCGCCCCTTAGGGTCCCTAAACCCTAAACCCTAAACCGTCTATCGGCGCTTTTGGGCCCCTCGGTTCTCTCGCTCAAAGCATGTATCTGGCAGGGATGTATCCTTAAGGGGATCTATAGGGTTTTTTTTTGGATCCATAAGTAAGGGTTCTATAAGGGATCTGTGGTTCCATATGGAGCTGAGAAACTACTTAGAGCCTCATGGGTCATGAATAAGGTAACCATACTTAAAACACACTTATAGCACCA